GGAGAAAGGCAGGAGCATGGAGGGGTCGCGGGCCTTATCTTACCTAAGACGCTCACCAGCCAATCAAAAGCTGTCGTATTCGCTGATCGGGCCCGTGCAGAGGTCACGGTCGCAGTCAGGTCCCTTCCACAGGTGTAATGCAAGTGCCAGAACCTGTGCCCGTGCCAGTGCCAATCAGCGAGGTGCCATCCGTCAACACCCCCTTTCCCCATCCGTCCCTCCTTGGCTCCCGTTGCTTGCGCGCGTGCTGCTTGCTGTTTAAGTAGGTACTGCGTGCCTTACCTTACCTTACCGTACCTCACTGCTTGTGTCCGGGCAGCTGGCAGCTGTTCGATCGACTTGCAGCGAGCGCCCTGTAAATTGTAGGTGGTGTGTCCTCCTGCCGAGCCATGAAAGATGGGCGTTACAGAGCCCACTGTCGTTCCATACCCGTCCACTTCAAGGCACACTTCAGCAGCTCCCACCGGTGCGCTGCTGTCGGGTCCGCTCCTGCAGTTGGGATCTCTCCTGGAGGTTGGAGCACCTGTCCCGGGCTTGACCAGTGTTGAAGCAGAACCTTCCTTGGAAGGAGCCTCTTCACAGCCTCGACCTCTCCACTCAACCACCTCATCATACTGGACCTTACCTAGTAGGCACCTTACCTACCTAACTCCTTGGGTACGGTACCTTAGCTGAGGTGTTGACAGTTGTGGTTTGGTGTGTGTATGTTTGTGTGTGTTGTTGTGCGTCTCTCACCTCTCCAACTCGCCTCCGGCGAATGCGTACCTACCACCTACCACCTACCTACCTTGCCTTACTTTGCCTTCGACAACACTCTCCAATCTACAACTCTCGTCCATTGACTTGACCGCTTGAGTATTCTTACATCCGCATCGACGCCTCCTCTCTCTCGTCTTGCTTTCGGGCGTCAATCTGTAAGGTATTGCTCTCACCCTGTCCATCATCTCTGGCCGCCCGCCCGCCGCCCCCCAACCAACCAGCCAACCCCCGGCGTCGAGGCCTGTTCCTGGCTGGCCGCCGCGCATCACTGGACCGTCCGTCTCCAGCTGTCGAGTCTGTCTTCTGCTGGGCGACGTGCTCTGGGCCGGACAACCCTCTGGCCATACCATACCGTGCCTTGCCGTACCGTGCCTCTTCGACCTTACCTTAATATTTCACCGCCGCCGCTAGCACGTTAGGGGAGACCGGCTGCTGGTCCCGCGTCGTCTCACACTTCACACCTGGGCCCCGCAAACAACTTCAGCTTTACCGACGATCCAGAGCATCCCCCAACTTCGTCGCTTCTTGTCCAGAACATCTGGCTTTCTTCCTTTCGCTGCCCGATCATTTCTCCTTCCGCCGTTTTTTTGATGGGGCATAACCTCGTCGCAACGATCTCTCTCTCCAACCCGCTCCCCTAGCTGCTTCCCCTTGTCTGCCCATCACGAAGCGACGCTATCCTGACAACCCAACCCCAGCCCTTTCGCGAGCGACCGCCCTCCTTCATCGTCTCGTCGACATCGATCTGCCGACGCGCTTGTTACAACCCCAAACTCGCCCTTAGCTGAGACCCACGCACGCTCCGTTCGCCGCGCATCATCGAAGCCATCTCGAGACCGAGGCTGCGATAGCCCTTCGATTCCTTCGTCTTTGCATTCCATTTCGACGTCAAACAATTGACTCGATCCGGCCGGTTCCAAAATCACCCCTGCTTAACACCACCGACGCCGACCATCCTGCGCCCGCAGCATATATCCTTCTCTGCATTGGACCTCCGTCCATTGCGATTCACTGCTGCTCGCTACATTAGCTGAAGAGTCGGGCGATTCTGTCGCCCCACCGAGAGGCACTTCATCGTGACGTCCAAAATGAAGCGCTTCAGCCAGAGGGTGGTAAGTCACCGTTGCTACCCGGCCCCTGAGTCTCATCATCATACTGGACACCCTATTGACGTCCCAGCATGCCCAGCTCTCGCGCGGCAAAGACAAAGACCCCAATAAGCCCAAGAAGAATAAGGATTCCAAAGATGGGACTGCATCCCCCTCGTCGGTCGGCTCAGGCCGCGATGCAAACCAGTCGCCTAATCCGACTCCTTCATCCTCGACGACAAACCTCTCCGATTCCCGCAATAAGCCGCTGCCGCCTAACAACGCCGGCGCCCACGGCGGAGAACCGAACCAGCCGTCGCCATTGAGCAACCAGCAAGGTGCTGCCCCGGATCGCTTTGGCTCCACGGGAGCGGCCCAAAGTGCTAACGGTGGAGGTTCTCCAGCTCGCCATGGCACCCTACCGCCTACCGTCATCATCAGCCCCAGCGCTCCTGTAAGTTCTCAACCGGCACTGCTCAAAGCTGTTGCTAATCTATCTCCAGCACGTCCCGCCCCCTGGTGCTGCCGAAACCATGCCACACGATCTCGCGCCTCCGAAAGCGGGCACCAAGTCGCTCATGTTCGATCGCCTCCACCAGACGCCCAAGGACGTGCCCGAGGGCCTCAGAACACCCAAGCGACAGCATTCGTCGAGATTCGATATCTCTGCTCACCGCGAGCTGGAGAAGCTTCCTGGATTCCACGAAGTTCCCCCCAACCGACGCCAAGAGCTCTTCATGCAGAAGATTGACCAGTGCAACGTCATTTTTGACTTCAATGATGCCAGTGGTGACATGAAATCCAAGGAGATCAAGCGACTCGCCCTCCACGAACTGCTCGACTACGTCGCTAATAACCGTCAAGTCATTACGGAGCCAATGTACCCTAGAGTTGTCGAAATGTTCGCCAAGAACCTCTTCCGACCCATTCCGCCCCCGATGAACCCCCAAGGAGAAGCTTTCGATCCGGAGGAGGACGAACCCGTCTTGGAGGTTGCTTGGCCGCACATTCAGGTTGTCTACGAGTTCTTCCTGCGCTTTATCGAAAGCCAGGACTTCAACACCAACATTGCCAAGGCGTACATTGACCATAGCTTCGTGCTGCAGCTGCTGGAGCTCTTTGACTCGGAGGACCCGCGCGAGAGAGACTTCCTCAAGACGACGCTTCACCGTATCTATGGCAAGTTCCTGAACCTGAGATCGTTCATCCGTCGCTCCATCAACAACGTATTCTTCCAGTTCACATACGAAACGGAGAGGTTTAACGGCATTGCTGAGTTGTTGGAAATTCTGGGCTCTATTATCAACGGTTTCGCTCTGCCGCTGAAGGAGGAGCATAAGACCTTCTTGACGCGGGTATTGATACCTTTGCACAAGGTGAAGAGTCTCAGCATGTACCACCCTCAGCTGGCGTACTGCATTGTCCAGTTCCTTGAGAAAGATGCATCTCTCACAGAGGAGGCAAGTTTTGGATCCGAGGCTTCGCATAGTTGCTTGCTAACCGAACCAGGTTGTCCTCGGACTGCTCCGCTACTGGCCCAAGGTCAACAGCACAAAAGAGGTTATGTTCCTTAACGAGGTCGAAGACATTTTCGAAGTCATGGACCCGGCTGAATTCGCCAAGGTTCAGGAGCCTCTTTTCCACCAGCTGGCCAAGTCGGTTGCCAGCCCCCATTTCCAGGTTGCTGAGCGTGCTCTTTACTTCTGGAACAATGAGTACTTCTGCAACTTGGTCAGTGATAACGTTGAGATTATCCTGCCCATCATGTTTGCGCCTCTATACGAGAACTCCAAGGGACACTGGAACCGGTGAGTGTTACCACAGAGTGCAAGCGCGACTAGTACTAAATAACTGCTGCAGTACGATTCACGGCATGGTTTATAACGCCATGAAGCTGTTCATGGAGATCAACCCTCAATTGTTTGACGACTGCTCCCACGATTACACCGAGCAGCAAAACAGCGCCGCAGCCAGAGAAGCCCTCCGTGAAAGAAAGTGGGCGTCAATCACCGATCAGGCCAACCAGAGACGGTCAGCCAACGGTGCGGGCGCTCCGACATCAGGTAGAGCACACGCTGGCTCCCTTTCTCGCGTTGATGAAGTCGACGGAACCGAAGACAACCAGAAGCGATTAGACTCTCTCAAGCTGCAAGATGGCGACCGCAGGGAACGTCGGCATGAGCAACAAGACTCGGTAGGATCAACCCGAAGCCAAAAATGATTTTACCCTGTTGCCATTACCCGCCTCTGTCTGGTTGTCAACCTGCGCTTGAGGATTCTCAATACCCTTTGAAACTTCGTTTTGCTATTTTTACAAAACTCACCCTGTCCTGTTCCTCAGCATTGTCTTGCATCCTGCTTTAATCGCCGAATTTCAGTGCTTGTTGGAATGTTTGATTGACCAGTGTCCGATGTAGGCCCCGGAACAAAACGGCGAGGAGAAAGCCGAGGCGACTGAGGAGTCATGACCTGCCTTGGCATTATTACCGAATGATTTGCCTTCAACGGGTTGAAGGACTTCAAACGGGAACATCATGCATGCGCTTAGGGATTCAGAGGATAACCGCCGGGTACGCTTCGGGTCAGGAGAGAGAGGACCACAAGCTCTAGTAGGGATGGGGCTTCGCCGCCCTCGGAACATACTTAATTTTCATGATGTCACTTTTATGTTTCCTTTCTCCTCGGTAAAGACTCAGACCTGAGCGGGACCTTTGACTACTGGCATCGAGCCGCCCGCCCGCTGTTTGGCTGTCGAGGTGAAAAGAAACGCGGGACTCTTCTTTACTTTTTTCTACGCGGGAGGACACAAAAACGTATTTTGTCGGAAGAGGGTGACGGGGGACAGGCAAGAGTGGGTGGAAGAAAGATGGGGTGCCCCGGCGTACAGAGGCGAAACTCGGGAGACAAGCTCCTTTTTTCTTTATGCGGCTCTCTCGGATGAACTTGACAAGAAAGTTGCGCCAGAGTGGGCGTGAGGAATGAGGGTTTTCCTCCTTGGTTTCTACCTTAGACGATGAATGAGTACAGACGTTAGACGTCACATTTAGACTTGGGTACGCTGATAGAGGTTTGACGAGCGGCTTCGTGATTGACATTATACATTGCCTTGCTACTACTGGTCTAATCTACAGTTGTCCAAGAGCAGAGGGAACTTTACCACCCGCCTCCTCTGCCTCTGTTATAGCCTCCCCTGCCGCGGCCTCTGTACCCACCACCGCCGCGTCCATACTGCGGCTGTTGCTGGTATTGGTTGTGTTGTTGCGGCGGCGGCGGCGGCGGAGCGGGTGCCCCCCATCCGCCCATATGTGGTGGAGGCGGCGGCAGACCGGCACCAGGTGGCGGAGCACCCCAATTCTGCGGAGGCCCACTGATATAGCCTACAGTGGGAGGATGAGTAGGTGGAGGGGGAGGCGGCCATGCTCCTTGGAAGCCTTGAGGCGGCGGAGGGGGTGGTGGGAAGTGTCCGAACCCGCCGGCCGCGTTTGGAGGTGGTGGTGGGTACGGTTGGAAGGCGGGAGGACTGTGGTGATTAGGGGGAGGAGGCGGCGGTGGCTGCGGCTGGTTGTAGCCCTGGCCCGACTCGTCGTTGTACCGGCCGCGGCCGTGGGGTGGAAGTGGTGATCTGCTGGAGTCGCCGCGGCCTCTTCTCCCGCCTCCTCGCTCACGAGATCGGGATCGGGATCTGTAGGGACTCCGCGACCGGGAGCGTGATCTTGACCTGGATCGGCTGTAGTCTCTGGAATCGTAACGACCCTTGCGTGGAGGGCTCTGTCGCCGATCGCGGCTGTGGCTTCGGCTGCGGCTGGGGCTCCGGCTTCTAGAATCTGGCGAGAGCCTGCGCCTCTTGAACGCGGGGGGCGAGTCGCTTCTACTTGACCGGCCAGGGGAGAAGCTGCGAGAGCGGCTTCGCGAGCTGGATCGGCCACGGCTGCGTCTGTCGCCTCCTGGCTTTCCCTTCTTGCGCTGCTTCATCTTCTCGCAGAAGTTGCGCGACCAGCCGTAGTAAGTCTCTCCCCCAATGACCTCGCCCGTGATCTCGTCGAGGATGACGCGCTCGCCCATCTCGCTCAGGTCCGTCGACTGCTGATCGGGCTGCTGGGGCGCCGCCGACTTGGAGTATAGTCTCTCGACGTCCGCGAGAAGGTCCTTGACTGCCTCGGCGAGAGCCTTGTCCGCGGGGCCTGGCGCGAGCTGAAGCGGCTTGATCATGTTGGGATTCATGGCCTTCGTAGAGTTTGGCTCAAGATGCGGGAGCCAGTTGGCAGCTGGAAGGTCGAACCAAGGGGTGTTCGGGTCTCCGTGCATCGAGGGAATCATGTAGGGCGCGTCCTTTGCAGGTTTGACAGCGAGGTTCGACCCTGTCTGGTTGTTCGCGCCCTCGCCCTCAGCGGCCTTGGTGACTTTACCGCCATGGGGGGCTTCCTTCACCGTCTCCCTCAAGTCTGCGATCGTGTGCGTCGAGATGTACTTTTGCTGGTCCCAGAGCGACAGGAGATCGTCCAGCTTGCGCATGTGTTTCGGGCAGTTGTGGAAGCTGGCGGCAGCGTGAAAGAGCGGTGGGAGGCTGGGCTGTAGCTCCGTCGCGAGGCGCGTGTCTCTGTCCCGCACGACGGCGTGGTAGAGAACGTCGTTGAGGATGTAGAGAATGTGCAGACGTTTGCGCTTGGAGGAGGGCTTCGTCTTGTTCTTCGCAGCACCAGCGGCGGCGGCGGCGGCGGTAGCATCATCGCCTGGGAAGGATTTGGAAAGGGCGGCCAGGTATTTGCCAAGAGCGGCGACACGCGCCGGCGAGGGCGCCAGATTCTTCAGGATCCATCGCTTGCATTTCTAGAGTAGGCAGCAGGAGTTTAGTTGACCTGCGACATGGAGACACGACGGAAACGGCTATGCTTGCGGCAAGAAACACGTAGAAGAGAAGAAAACGGCGCGGAGAGAAAGGCCGTTTCAAGAGGGCATCAAACCTGAACGTTGGCGGGCGAGCACTGGTGTATCGCATCGTGAAGGAGGGTGTGGAACGTCTCGATCTCCGGCCTCGTGAGGGAGACAGGCTCTTTGCGGAAGAGCAGGGCGCTGAAGGAGGCCTTTGCTATCGCCAGCTCGGGTGTTGCCATTGCGCTTCGATTCGCATGCCTGCCGGCGCGCAAGTAGATGAGCAGCGAATGTGTTGTTGTGAGGGGGTGAGTGGTGGTGTTGGGGATGTTGAAGTTGAAGTTACGAAGCGGGAGCTGTCAGAAAAGAGCTGAAAGCTTCATGCCAGCCAGGCACACAAAGCTGAATGCGCCGCGCAGGGCGTAAAACTGTGGCTTAGCACTTGGATCTAGCTGTTGGAGTGAGTCGGCTGGAAGTCGGGGTTCTGCGCGGCTTCTTCCGCAAAGGTGCTAGGGGACCCAGGCCACCCAGTGCGGATTGCCACGAGGTCACTATCTTAGCGGGCTACCCTTGAAGCCAAGATGCGGTAACACCTGCGGCCGGAGCGTGCGCCGTGATATCGGAGGGATCATGGGGGCGGACTATTGCGATAGGCCATCGAGAGGCAAGTATCTACTTATTCATCCAATTGACGGAGCGGTTTTGCTGGCTTGAAGCTGTTTGTGCAGCTGAGGCCTCTCGCTTGTGTTGGTGTTGGACAGAACCACCGCTGACGTAGGGCTAGTGTCCAATGATTCATTGACAGTCTGCCATCATGGCCTCGTCCAGAAGACGCTTTTGCTTAAGTTACAGAAATGACCGCCGTGGCCTCCCTTCAAAATACAATAATCCAGAGGTTAATTGGTAGAGAAGCGTAAATTCTTTCGTGTCGTGCTCAATGATACAAAGCGCGGCCATAACCGACCAGGGTGTTAATTATAATACACAGACTCGGGTCCGGTCGGGCTGCTTCCACCGCCAAACGTTTCGCGCCACTACGAAAAGCGGTCTCCCTTTGGACTCTTGAACGGCGTACTACTCTCGTATTTGCTCTTCTCCAATATTCTTTGTTGTTCCGTGGTCGGGGCATGGCGGGTCGGGGCGGGGTCGGAGCTGGACTCCTGGCTCGGCGAGCCGGCGGCATCGGTGCGCGGCTCTCCGCCCATGGTGGATGCGGAACCGGGCTGACTGGGGACGTTGTCGCCGTATTCCATGGATTGGGCCATCTGCTTGCGCTTGCGCTGCTCTTCAAAGCGGGCTGCGCGGTCGGCGTTGATGCTCTGCTTGGCGAAGTAGTAGGCCGTTCCGCCGGCTACATAAGTCGGCGTGTTAGCTACGGCACGAGGGCCAAGGCATGCTCAAATGACCACGTACCAACACAGAGAGAGCCCCATCCGAGCCTGCAAAACACAGAGTGAGAAGGTCAGCGTGACGGACGACGAGAGATGGTTTGCGACGAGTCAAGCGTACCAGAACGATTTGACCTGGGATCAGGCATGATGTTAGCCAGAGACTTGAAACCATATGCGACGGATAGGCTACAACTTACGGTGTTCATGTTTGCGGTAGAATATGGGGTGGACGATCAACTGGACAGATCTTGTCGCAGGGCTGAAGGGTTGACAGGTTTGTCTGGAACGCAATGGGAGGCAGCGAGCGAGAAGAGGGAAAAAAAGTTGCGCCGTTCGGAGTTGTTTGAATGGAAGATCTAAACCTGGTCAATCGGAGCAGTTTTCCAACAGTCAGCACGCACTGTGGTAAAGTGGGATGGTCTGATAATGGAGCTCCCCGATTGCTTGGCCTTGAGCCGTGCACGCGATTTGTGGACCCCGAGCGAGAGCGCAGGAAGGCGAGTGCAGCATGCGGTGGTGGTTGCTCTCAATCGAGTTTAGCCGGCTTGAGGCGGTTGAGCCACAAGGTACGTACTCTTTTTGGAGGCAGCATCCAGTCACATTAGGTAAGCACGCTAGGAAGAGTCGCGCCTCACCAACGTTGAGGGGGGAAGAGAAGCTAGGTAAGAAGGCAACAACGGCGAGGGCGAAAGTGATGTACAGGGGCCGCAGTGTTTACAGCGAGCGGCAGATTAGGCAGTCTGGCGGGTGTTCAGCGGGTAGGCCTAATTTCGGAACAATTAGCGTCCAGGTCCTGTCTCTCCATGCCCGTCGATTGGGTGTGTACGGTACTTGGTGCCTATGCAGTGTATGCAGCATGTACGAAGTACCTACTTCGGGTCTGGTCTTGGGCAGATTCACTCAGGTACCAAGCCAGTGAACCCCGGGAAGCATGCATCCCAATTCCATCCCCCTCCCCCAACCTTCTCGCAATTACTGGAACCCAGCAAGGCCAGGTACTTGGCGTGGAGGTACCTTGTCCAAGTACTATCCGTATGTGCGCCCAAATTACCTGACATCTCTTGGAAAGCAAAAGGTCGAAAAGGGCCCGCAGCTGGCTCTGGACGACCCTTGTTACCTAGTACTGCATAGTAAGTATACTACTCGCCGAGGGCTGGGAGGAGCTGGAGGGCTGTGGCAGACGACAGCCCAAAGAGGGACGGAGACTCGGCTTGGCAGGGCCATATGTCATTATGGATATTGCTACCCTAGATAGGACAGCCGGCCCGGCGTACGTAGTGTACCTGACGTCGCCGTCGTAATTGAGGGCGGTGTTTGGATGGCGACGTCTCCAAAGGTCCCTCAAACCTTACGTACATGCCACCACGTACCTCCTGGCACCCGCGCAGAAGCCACTCGAGCGTGCGTGTTGTATTGTATCCGTATGTAGGTACGCACATCCATCCATCGGTAGATAGGTACCTGAGCGGTTGTACCTGACGGCAAGGTACAGAGAGGTAGACCAGCCGGTTGCCTGCGAGCAAGGTGCACCGCACCACACCCCAACCCGCACACACTACTCCATCCACAGTCCACCACGGTGCCGTCCCAGCAAAACGGCTGGGAATCTTATTGCTCCAAGGGGCCTTTGCAATGCCACTTCGTTGTCAATCACAACTTTACCACGGATACTACTGCCGCTACCTCGACTCGACCACCACCACCACCACAACAGAAAAAAAAACATTCTGCCCTCCGTCCCCTCTCGCGTCTGCTCCTGATCCACTGCGATTCTGACCATACATCTATGGTCATGCCCGCCTGCACGTCGAGGTAGCTCCGAAACGTCGCCCAGCATCATTATGCTCCCCAGCCCTCTTGCACGGCCGTCCATCCCACTTCGCAGAATCCCTCCGAACAGCCACGCGCATCAAACTATCGTCTTCGCTGACATACCCTCGCGATCCTCAATCCCCGTCCGACAACCTCTATACCATCCCTTGACAAATTAAGCACGCCAGACTCGCCTTGTCCTAGCCCGCCGTTGATGGGCTCATGAAGATTCGTTTGAAGACGTGGGTGTAATGGGTATCAGCACCCTGAGCCCCGCCGTCCAGCTCAACTGTCATCATGCCTCCCCCCGACCAAAATGGGCCTGATGGCTCATCACTTGTTCGTTTCCCAAGCCCACAAGACCCCCTCTGACTTTGTGACTGACATGGCTGGCAGAAACCCGTCTCCTCCCTGAGAGCCAAGTTCGAGAACATGAACAAGGGCGAACCTGCGCCTGCACCTGCCCCCGCGCCTGTCCTTCCGTCGGGCCCTTCTCCGCCTCGAACAATCTCACCGGGCCCGAAGCCTGAATTCCTTCGAGATGCAGCCAAGTCTACCGAAAGCCTTCCGATACCCCCGAGACCGAGAGAACGTGGCAGCATCTCGACACCGTCTCTTCCTCCTCCGCTGCACGAGCCAGTCCCTCGATCGCCGGGCCGCTCCCTGGGCATACCTCCCACTCTGAAGCCGGAGCCCGTGAAAGCTCCCTCCGTCATGGTAGAGCCTCCTCAATCTCCTCCGAAGAATACTGTCTCCAGATTTGCGCATGCCGAGACCCCGGCTTTCTTGAACGCTGAGTCCGGCGCATCAACTCCGACAACTCCCACTACCGCGCGGCAGTTCAAGATCCCGAGTCGGCCCCATACCCCCTCTCTCGAACCGAACCGGCGCAGCCCAAGGCTGTCGGCCTCCCAACCGCCCTCTCCCCCGCCCCCGAGAAGGTCTGGCGAGATTCGCAGAGACAACAGACCCGCCGTTCCGCCGCCTATCAACCGTGCTGAAAAGCCGTCAATGCAGTCTCAGCCGAGGCCATCGTTTTTCGCTGATCATGTTGTAACCGCCAATAGACATATGCTGAAGCCGGAGACCTCTCCGTTCAGCAGCCCGCCTAGCAGCCCCGAACCGGCACCCCCGGTGCTTCCTTCGAGGCCAAAGGCGCCTGCCACACATTCGGATCCGCCGCCTCAACAGCAACGGGGAAGGACACTGGATGTTGGATTTGCACCTCCGCCTGTACACCACTCGATCATGACGAAGAGAAACCAGCGGGACCAGGAAACGAATGGATTTGTAAAGGGCCAAATCACGCCTCAAATTACTGGCGAGACCCGTCCTTCCGTACCAGCGCTGCCCGCGAGACCGCATACGACCGCCGAGCCACCGCCACGGCCCCTTTCTATGACCATGAAGCCGCCCCCGCGACCCCCAAGGCCTGGTATCAACACACATCCAGTCTCCGAGGCTCAACCACCGCCCAAACGTATTGTTTCGACCCCCACAACCCATCTTCCGCCACCTACCCGGTTGCCTGGACGTGCCAATACGGTGACTGACAGAACATCAGAGAGGACCACGCCTCGCCCGCCGCCACCACAACCTCCTATCTCCCACCCTCCTCAACCCGTGCAACACCCATCGCCGCCGCCGCCGCCGCCGGCCGAGACGACGACTGCTCTCATCCCATCGAGCAATCATTCAAAGGTTGATGTCAACGGCTCGAGCCAGTCCTTCCCGGATCCTTCCAACGTCAACCGGAGACCCCCCTATATCAAGCAAGGTATGCACGAAATCCAGACCAAGTACGATCCCAGAACATTCGACGTTTGCGGCGACCTGGTTTGCACCACTGGTCACTTGACCCGAGTTTGGAGTTTGCGGGATGGTGAACTCCTTATGAGCTTTGCCCACGGTGAGGGCATCAAGGCCACAGCAGTGGCGTTCAAACCTGGTAATAATGTCGATGAGGAAGGCGAACGCTTATGGATTGGTAACAACTTTGGCGAGCTAATGGAGGCCGACATTGCAACGCAGAGTGTGATTGCAAATAAGCCGAGCGCCCATGGTCGTCATGAAGTCATCAAAATTTACCGCCACTTCAACGAATTGTGGACACTTGATGAGACGGGCGGGCTTCTCGTTTGGGGTCCGGATGAGACCAGCACGCCAAACTTGACGAATAACTCACACCAAGCATTCCGACTACCGAAAGGCCACACCTTCTCGATGATAATTGGAGACGAGCTGTGGCATGCGACTGGAAAGGAAATTCGGGTGTTTGCTCCTAGCACAGACGGGCAGACCCAGTTTCAAGTTCTTGTGAGGCCTATGATGCAGGATACTGCTGGAGAAGTCACCTCCGGATGCCAAGTCCGGTCGCAACCTGGCAAGGCCTTCTTTGGCCATGCAGATGGCAAGGTTTCGATTTACAGCACGCAAGACTTCGCTTGTCTCGGGATTATTAACTTGAGCTCTTGGAAGATCAACTCCATCGCAGGCGTCGGTGATTATTTGTGGGCGGGATTTAACACAGGTAAAGTCTGTGTTTACGACATGGCGACAACACCGTGGTCTGTCAAGAAGGACTGGCAGGCACACGACAAGAACCCAGTTGTGAAGCTCGTTTCGGACGCTTCCAGCGCTTACCGAATGGATCGTCATCAGGTAATATCTCTCGGTGCAGACAATGTGCTTCGCACCTGGGACGGCCTCCTGCAGGATGACTGGCACGAGACGGAAATGAAGGGCATGGATACCCAGTACTGCGAGTTCCAAGATCTCAAGGTGCTATGTATGACCTGGAACGCCGGTGCATCTACGCCTCACAGCCTTCGATACGCTGAAGAGGATGCGGAATTCATCAAGAGTCTGTTACAAGCAAACAGCTCACCCGATATCCTGGTTTTCGGGTTCCAGGAGTTAGTCGACTTGGAGGACAAAACCGCCACAGCCAGTAAGTTAGAACCTTGCCATTCGACGAAACTTAGCTGACATTTCCCAGAACGTTTCTTGAAGGTCAAGAAGAAAGAGGGATCAGACCAGGAGCGAATGAGCCACCAATACCGCGACTGGAGAGACTTCTTGCTGAAGAGCCTCGATGATTACATGCCGCATGATTGTCTATACCACTTGTTGCACACTGCCACTCTTGTTGGCCTGTTCACCTGCATTTTTGTCAAGTCGACGCTTAGAGATCGCGTACGGAACTTGAGCGCATCGGAGGTCAAGCGTGGCATGGGCGGCCTCCACGGCAACAAAGGTGCCATCGTTGTTCGTTTTATGGTTGACGACTCCTCACTTTGCTTCATTAATTGCCATTTGGCAGCGGGTCAATCACAGGCTAACAGTCGTCACAACGATGTGGCGGCCATTCTCGAAGCGCAAATTCTCCCTCCTGAGCGAGACCCCAATATGCGTCTGGACAGCTTCGTTGGTGGTGGAGACGGTACTATGATCTTGGATCATGAGCTCTGCCTCCTCAACGGCGATCTCAACTACCGCATCGACACGATGTCACGCGATACCGTGGTTATTGCTGTTAAACAAAATAACTTGGCCAAGCTACTCGAGCGAGATCAGCTCCTCGTAGCAAAGAGACGGAACCCAGCCTTCAAGCTCCGCGCATTTGACGAGATGCCAATCACCTTTGCACCTACGTACAAGTATGATGTCGGCACAGACAACTACGATACTAGTGAGAAGAAGCGCTCGCCAGCCTGGTGCGATCGACTACTGTACCGCGGAGGAGGCAGGATAAAGCAAATCGACTACAAGCGCCACGAGGTCCGCGTATCCGATCATAGACCCGTCACCGGACGATTCAAGTTCACGGTTAAGAAGGTCCAGCCGAAGGCGCGGGCCATGGCGTGGGTAGATTGCGTGTCGAGGTTTGAAGACTTGCGACTGCGCGAACTCAATGATGACAAGTGAGTACTTGTTTTTCCGCCGATATCAAACACTTTGCTAACAGATGTAGGATATCCTATCTGACGAAGGTTATTGGTTACGACGCCGCCACTGCTCAGAGCATTCTCAACCCGCAGAGCGAGGCATGAATACACCCTTGCAAATTTCACTACGGACCACAGCTTTCAACCGCAGGCTACATGATTGATATGCGGTAGGCATGGTTGACGGACAACTCTCTGGATGCGAGTTACGAATGGAGGGGTTTTACGACCGGGGGCAAGGAAAAGGTTACGAAGACGGATAGCATGACACACGTTTTGAACGTCCAACAACGAATTGGCATTTGAATGGCGCAGTTTAGACAGAAAGATATTGGGATTCGTTTACCCACGACGCAAGCGGGAGGAAGACATACACCTATCCAGCCCCCAAAAATATGTCTAGCCTTCTACGGAGGCATCTGGGTTTTATGCTTTTTTTGACGAACAACGTGTGCTGGTCACCGAGTAGAGGGACCAACGACGGCCTGGAAGGATAATAGGAGAAAAGAGAAAGAGAGAAAGAGAGACCCGTGAATGCAACTACATCATGTAGAGAGCCAAATCGCATTGAGAACGGTGAAGAGGTGCAGATCTAGGCAACTGGTATGTGCTAGGGAATGCAAGGCCATGCAGGATGCGTCTCTTACCGCCCCTGCAGCACCGCCCGCTTCGCGCGCGAGTCACGGCAGGCCAATACGACTGTGCCTTGCATTTTGCGCTTGACTGACGTAGATGCTGCATGGTTGGCGGCGAAAATGTTGCCGTTACCCAGTTCGCCTAGCCGTTCGTTGAATTGCGATTTACAGAGCTCTCTAGATCGATCAACTTGCCTCGTATGAGTGTTAGTGTTGGTTCATGCATGCACAATGAAAGTCACTCAAGTATCCGTTGATACCTATTTGGCCCCAATCAAAATATGTATTAACCCCTTTCTCAGGGGCTTTCAAGTCTATAAACCACATCTCTCTCTCTCTCTTTAGGTGTGAAGGTCTCGCACCAGATCGTTGGGAAGTGAATGAATACAATTCTAGCATTGCGTGCTGTTGGGCCATGGATTTGGTTGTTAGGTCTGTGACAAAAAAAAACTGAAAAACCTCAACTCATGCCGTCTATGTTTTTTCCCCTTTGCTTTTCCCCGTCCAAATCTTTTTTATTCGTTTGTGTCGCCGCCGTGGGCAGTAGCTTTCAAGAAAGGGAAAGAATCCCGGTGTCCCCGCGCTTCTTTCTCATATCTCGAGGAGGGCCTTGGCACCGGGCTCGCTGCAGACGTAGATGACGTCGTGGTTGTCGGTGAAGCCGTTGAAGCGGGTGGCGGAGCACTTTGTGTAGGCGCCCATGTCCTCAAAGTACAGCCAGTCGCCGACGTCAAGCTCGTGCTCAAAGGAGATGGTCTCGGTGATGCGGTCGATGCCGTCGCAGGTGGGGCCCCAGACGGAGTAGCGGACACCCTCGCCGTCGGGGCAGGCGTTGGCGGAGGGGCAGTCGTAGACCGTGGCGGGGCCGGCGCGCAGGACCTTGGCGACGGGGTGCTGGTGGTCGAACATGATGCTGGAAAAGTTGCCGTAGAGGCCGTCGTTGACGTAGAGCATGTAGCGCTTCTCGTTCAGGGAGGGCTCGTCGACGGTGCGGCGGGCGATGATGTTGCAGGCGATGGTGAAGGCGGCCGAGACGTAGTAGCGGCCCGGCTCGGCGATGATGTTGACGTTGCTGGAGGCCGGGAAGTACTCGTCGAGGGCGCCGCGGAGAACGGCGGCCATGTCCTCGAAGGTGTCGCCGCAGAAGCCGCCGCCAATGTCGAGCGTCTTCATGTCGAAGCCGTAGGCGCGGCCCTGCTCGAAGACCTCGTAGGCGTCGTAGACGGCCTTGTAGAAGGCCATGGGGTCGGAGGCGCCGGAGCCGACGTGGAAGCTCACGCCGACGACGTTGAGGCCGAGGTCCTTGGCGGTGGCGAGGAGCTCGTTGGTGTCCTCCTTGGCGGCGCCGAACTTCATGCTGAGGCGGCACAGGCTGGACTCGTCGTCGGTCATGATGCGCAGGTAGAGCTCCGCCTCGGGGAAGAGCTTGGCGACCTTGCGCAGCTCGTCGGCGTTGTCAAAGGTCATCTGCTTGACGCCCATGGCCTTGACGTAGCGGACGTACGAGTTGGTCTTGCAGGGCTGGGCGTAGATGATGCGCTCGGGGGCGACGGTGCCCATGTTGAGGACCTGGTCAATCTCGGTCTTGGAGGCGCAGTCGAAGCCGGTGCCAAGGGCGGCAAGAAGCTGGAGGACCTTGGGGTCCGGGTTGCACTTGACGGCGTAGAAAGGCTTGACGCGGGGCAGGTTGAGCTTCCAGCGCATGTGCTGGCGGTAGACCTCGCCTAGATCACCGACGAAGAAGGTGTCTTCGTCGCCGGGCTCACAAATCTCATGGTCGATGCTCTCGACGCGCTGGCGGAGAGCATCGCCAATCAGCTGCTTGGGGTTGATCACGCCATTCTGTTTGTTGTGATGGGCGTGTTCGACATAATGCGACGTCTTCAAGACGGGTTGGTGGTAGGTACTAGCAAAATTGATAGTAGCTGGGGCAAAGTGCTCGATCGCGGCTGTTGCCATAACCATATCCCAAGCGGTTGATGGGGGTGTTTTGTTGGTGTTGGGTGGATGAGATTTGTGGAAAGTCGGTGGGTTGTTGTCTCGATACTATCGGACTCCTCTCTTTCGACAGTTGTTTGTGTTGTCGAAGGTGGTTTGTTTGTAAGAAGAAGTTGAACCTAGAATCGGCAAGAGAGTTCTAGGGTGGTCGAAAGCGGTAGCAGACAGAACCCTCAGTGATCTGACGAGGTCTCCTCGACTCCCCCTCGGCGAGAGGAAGAGGCGCTAAACCCGTCCTATGCGGCAGCTGGTTGGGGGAGAGAAAAGGCGTCTGGTGAAGCAAAGCGTCGAAGAGAAAGAACTCGAGCTTCTGCTTAGGCGACTTCAGCAGCGGGTGGCGGGATGGCGTTGACGATGTGGCGGGTCTTTCGGAGGCTGAAATCTTGGTCACTGACGAAGCTCACGGCCAGGGAAGCCGTGCTGGGCTGTTGTGCCTTTGAGTTGACCAAAGGCTAAGTCGGCGGTGGGAAGGGGTGATCTTTGTACAAGATCTGGAGAGGCGGTATGGTCAGCGAGGAGCCTTTTCACTATGAGGGCTTCCTTGATGGCGTTGTCGACGATGAGACGGAAATGAGGAAGGGGAATGGTGAATGGCATGAATGAGGAGAGTGATTTTCCGTCGCAAGCTTTGCTGGGTGGTGGTGGTGAGGGGCAAGGAGCAGCAATGGCTCTGCTTGTGTTGTTGTGTGTGTGGTGAAGACACACGATGACGATGCCATGTGACACGCGAGAGACGTGCAAGGTCAAGGCAGGTTGCGCGAGTGCGGGCAACAGCTTCTTCCGTTTCGAAGAAAAAAAGACGGAACTCACCAAGTTGTTGAAACTGGACGGAGAGGCGATGCTCGGGTCCAGGTAGCTGGTTAACAGTTGCGGTGTTTTGCGAAGAGCGGGAGCTGGCGAGCAATTTGGTTGACGATGAACCTTTGGTTTGGTGTTGGAGGACCAAATTTGTGGCGGGGGGGTCCGTAAAGGCTTTTTATTGCGACGGGCTCTGAGGGTAGGTTTCGTCTTCTTTCTCCAGAAGTCCTTTTGGGTACCTGATTAGTGGAGCGGCGACGCCTGGCTGGCCACACCACACACACACAAACACAGCTGCCCACAATCTCTTGTTCAAAATTTTCCCCCTTGTCAAGGAGCATTGACTTCCAGCAACAGCTGCGGCTACAGCCACATCACTCACTCATCGGTGTCTGCTCTCTTCTCTCTCTCTCTACTCCGTATAGACCGCAAGCTTTCCTCAGGAGCCAAGGTTCAGCCCGGCTCCATACAATGATGCTCGCCTGCTGAGTCTTCGGTCAAGTATCCCGGTGTACCCAGTTTCAATATCCCGTTGAACCCGCTGCCGACCACAAAAAAAGCCAACCTCCAAGTTGAGGCCTTCCACATCCACCAGTGGTGGAGATAGACGCTCCCGTGGGAGAGACATGTACATGTGGTACATCGGGCCGCGTGCCTTGTTCTGCAGGTTCCGGTGTCTGAGATGCATGGGTGATCGGATGTACTCCGTACATGACCTCACGCTGAAGAATGGGCGCAACAATTACAGCAAGTAAAGTACCTGAAGCTTAAAAGATGGTACCGGCCTCCTGTGCTCTGCCCTGGGCTCGGGTGGGCCGAAGGGAAGATACATTTCCATTCGGGCTTGATTGTTGTTGCTCTTCTCGTTACGACGACGTTGTATGTAAGTATATTTTGATGCAGAACGAACACCTACCGGCTTTGTCTTGGTTGACACGCATTCCTCCACCATTACGAACCACCCGCATACTCTGCGTCGTTACCGTTCCAAGTCGTCACCACTATTTGCAAATGACATGGACCGCTTGAAACTCCATCAAGTACATCACCGTTGCCCACATTGTCCACAACCGGTGAAGCTAGCACAAGAGACGCCTGCTAGTTGCAGAAGTTGACAGTAGCGGATGCTGGAGCAGAGCACATGGAAGTTGGAACAAGAGGGGTGCCGAATGATTCTGTCTCTAGGCAGGCAAGACAAGACAGCGACAGGCCATGTGGTGGTGGTACCTGGCCGGCTTCTAGAAGTAGATTCGGGGTGCAAAATTGCGGTCTGAGAATTGCTGATGTGTCAGCAAGATCGGTGATGCTCAGTGCTCCCGGAGACTTGAGGTGTGACTGGAGGCTGCCAATGATGCGCTGCGGTGTTGGCCCTGCATGCGAGAAAGACATGCACCGAAGATCAGAGACGGTCAAACAGGCACGGCGCGCCAGTCTTGGACTTCGCAAGATGGGACAGGGCATTTTCTGGAGAAGCAACGAGCTAGTAAACCCTAACGGTCCGCGTTGAGACCGACTCAGCCGTCGCCATTCGCTTCATCGTCGACGACACAAGTTTCGGTCAGCACGACTCTGTCTCTCGCCTGTTGCCTCGCGAGGAAACGTCTCATCCCGTACCTTGCTTTGCTCTGGCCCCCCGGGATTCGAGGCATGTAGCGTGAGGTAACGAGGGGTCTCCAGTCTCCAGACTTTCAAACTCCAGACCGCCGCCCGCCCGCCCGCCAGCCAGCCAGCCAGCCAGCAGCACCAGCAGTGCCTCTTCGCTTGTCCTGGCTCATCACACGGGATCCCGATAAATTCCCTCACGCATGTCCACTCGGACGGCTACCATAATTAGCCTGATTCCATGCAACTCTCACGCACCCAGCTCAAACGGGACGGGGTGAGCTTTGCGTGCTCTGCGCGCTGCTCTGGCCTAGCTCTTGTCACATTTCGCTGACATGGGCGCGGAAATTCGTCTGGCCAAACGGCCGCTCAATGCAATGAAAGAGTGCACAGCACCACCAGGCCAGACCAGCCGGCACGCATCGCCCAGAAGCATGTGCATCTCACTTTTCTTACCCTTTCCCCCCTTCTACTGGCGCGTACTCGCGGCATTGCTCTTCCCTCCCACCTTCGGCTGTGCCCTCCAAGACGGCAGGTGAGTAATATGTAAAGGATACATGCTGGGCTGCCTCCTCAAAACACCAGCCCACTCGGTTCTCGGCCTGGTGGTGGTGTTGGCGATGGCACAAGCCCTCCTTGGCTGGGCCCTCTCCGTGAGCCGCAATGCCACCGTGACTTACAGTGCGTACGAAGTCTCCCATGTCCACCACTTCGTGCCTCAGTGCCTTGAATTGTGGCGCCGCCCCTGGGAGTGACGTATGCGGGGCACTCGCGCCGCCATTTTTCGTCCAATATTTGCGCCTTTTTGTTCTGTCACTGATCCCGCGTGTTTCCGTTCAATACTTATGCACTAATTGGCTCCATCTGATTGGTTGCTACATCTCATCCACCGATATCGCCAACTTCACTCTTTGGCATGTACTCTGCGCTTTAGTCCGACGACCCAATGCTGAGGATGTCGGTTCTGATAGAACGAGCTGGGCCGGTTATTGCGGGCAGAACCTCGCGATCCCCAGGCTCATCTTTCTTGATCTTGCGTCGTCTAGTGGTCTCCAAGCCATTGAGGTAGCAGGAAGACGTATCGTATCTGAACGCGTACTTTACAGGTAGGACATTGGCTCACGGTGACCCTCGGTTAGTCGTTCATTCAAGAGTTGGGTATAATTACACAGGTTATGTGCAGCACATATAGTTACAGATACGACTGGTGGCGATGTGCCTTCCGCGGTCGTCATTGTACACAGGCAGCTCTCTTTCGAGTCAATCCCAAGTCTAAGTCATGGTATCGTGCGGCATCATGGGTGCCGTGACCTCTGTCCCACGACGACATCGAAGACGCAGAAAAGAAGCGACAAAAGTGGTGTCGGCAACCCTTCTTACTTCGCGCCGTTAATGTCCATCTCGTTGATAGACCAAGTGCCGTCTACCCAAGGGCGCTTCTCACCCAAGAAGGCAACCCGTTCCTCCTCCTTCTTCAGAGCCTCAACGATGTACTGCTGTGCAACGTTGCGCACTTGGTCTTTGGAGACGTCAAGAAGCTGCTCGCGACGCTTCTGCTTCATCTCTTCTGTGATGCCAGACAAGAAGCGACCCATGCCCTCGGAGTTGACCGATTGCGGAGCGTCCACACCTTGGAACACCGAAATTTTGGCCTCTTCGAGGTCGCGATCCGTCCACTCCTTGTCCCTCGCCCACTGGCCAGCGTTGCGCATGATCGACAAAGTGTTGTGGGGGTTGGGATCGCGGTAGGAGTAGAAGCCGAAAAGGCCGTCCAGGCCGCGGGAGTAAGCTCCGCCCCCGTATGCACCGCCCTTCTCGCGAATTTCGTGATGGAGGTGCTTGTGGGTGAGTAGCTGCGCCAGGATCTGTAACGGTGCACCGTCCGGCGACGTGTAGGAAACGGTGGGAACCGCCAGAGAACCATAGTACACCTGGTACGGCAACGGGAAGAATGACTTGATGTTCCTCTGCAGCGAAGCAGGCTTGGAAGGTGACAGCGAAGGCTGGTCTTTGGAGAGTGTTGACATGAAGCTAGTAAGGGCACTCAAGTTGGCGCCCGTGCTCTCGGACCCGCAAGTCAATGCCGTGCGGAAGTTTCCTCCAGAGAGCGCGATTTTCTGGATCTGTTTGAGCTTGTCAATGACATCCACCAGACCGTCTGATTCAGGTCGGTTAGCAAGCGATGTCACAAGCTTAACCTGAGAGAGACCGCCGATCTGCTGTCTGAGCCACGCGCTCCGGGTAAGCCCGGCCTCCGCAAAGCCGCGGGCGTACTGGTGTCCAGATGAGGCAATATCGTTAACTACGCCGTCGGCGGATGCTTGAAGCAATTGCCTGATGCGTTGGGCGGCCTCTGGGCTATCGAAATCTGTGTCCTGCACAAGCTTGCGCAATATGTCGAACATGACAGGCACATTTCTGTCCAGGGCCATGCCAGTAAAGATCAGACCTTCGCTAGCTTGATGGAAGTCGGTTGGCGAAGGTGTAGAGTGGTAGCCTACAGACACACCTCCGGTCTTCAACTTGATCAAATCCTCGATTTGCTCCATAGACATGTCCCTCGTGCCGAGTCGCATGATGCTATCGGAGAACAGCGGGATCAACTCTCTTAGTTCATCAGGAAGGTTTTCCAGCGTGTTGATGGCTCGGAAGTACGTCAAGCCATTTGTGGGAGCCTCCCGCCACTGAATCTTGACACCGTTGGCCGTCTCATCGCGCACAACCACGGGCTCCTTGCTGCGAGGAATGTCCTTGACATGGACTGTGGGAAGGCAGCTAAGGTCCTCCGTGTTTGACTTGCCTTGCTCGACCAAAAGGTTGAGCTCGCGCTCCTCGAACTTCTTGCGAGCTGCAGCATCGCCGCCGGCTTCTTCGGACGCTTGCTGGATTTTGGTAGCCAACCTCTCCTTCTCTTCGCGTGCTAGGTCCTCGCTGAAGGTGGTTGACGGCGCCATGGTGAAAGACAGAGTGTTGTCATTCAGCAAGTACTTGTCAATCAAGGTCTCCAAGTAGCCACCCTTAGCAAGCTTGGTCTCAAAGGCGGATATGGTATCGTTCCACGCAAGAGAGTCGAAGGGATCGACACCGGTGAACCACTTGGGCTTGAGCCTATGAAGCATGGACATGCCGAAGTTGGCGGTCTTGTGCTTCAAAGCCAGCTCCAGTTGATGGAGAGACCCGTCAATCTTGGTCCTGTCGAACCCCTTTTCACGGGTCTCGCGAAGGATGCGCTGCAACTCCGCCTTGAGCTTACGCACATCAGCCTCCTGAACACCCGTCAGACCGACTGAGAATATTCCCAACTTCGCCGAGCTATCGTAGCCTGCATTGGGACTGAAATCAGTTCCCAAACCAGCCTCGATCAGGCCGCGGTACAGGGGCGATCCGTATCCGTCCATGAGAAGAGTGGAGAGCAACGCCAGAGAGAAAGACTCGACAACATCGGTGGTGTCTCCCATAATCCATGAGACAGACGTCTTGAACTGTCTGTCGGGGTCCACCAGAGGATCGAGGGGGCCGTGAACAGTGACCTCCCTAGGGCCAGAGGTTAGGCTGATAGGCTGGTGAATTGTGGCATCCTCCTGTATCCTCTCGAAGGCGCTGAGATGTGCATTGACCTCCTGAAGATGATCAGCCAAAGGCATGTCTCCGTAGGTGAACAGCTTTGCGTTGCTGGGGTGGTAGTGTTCAGCATGGAACTTGCGCAGCTGCTCGTAGGTCAAGTCGGTAATCTTTTGGGGATCGCCGCCGGAGTTGTTGATGTCAGGGAAGATATGGTCCTGGAAACGAATGTAGAACAAGTAGCCAGCGTCGGACATCTGGCCCTTCATCTCGTTATAGACGACGCCCTTGAAGACAAGGTCACTTTCCTCGCCATTCGCCGCTTGAGGGTTCTCGGGCCCAATACGCCAGCCCTCTTGAGTGTAGTCGGACTCCTTCAACAGAGGATGCAAAGTTGCATCCATGTATACAGACATCAGGTTCTTGAAGTCCTGCGCGTTCGTCGTCGCAAAGGGGTAGAATGTGTGATCGGATGCTGTGAAGGCGTTCATGAAGTTGGACAGGGTGCGAGGCAGCATCTTGAAG